GGAGGAGGGGAGGGCGGGGGGGGGGGTCGTTCAGGGTTTAGGTATGAGCTGCTGCCGAGATTACCAATTTTTAGGGCTTTTTGGGCTTTAGGCTTAAGGGAAGACTGCCACAGCATGCCTGCAGTCCCCATTGGAGGTCTTCTTCGGTTACAATGTGGGACCCCCAAACAAAAACATGCCAACCCCCAAAAAAACACGAATAACATGGATAGTATAGGTAGTGGCCATAATGCATGGAAAGGGTCCTGAGTAACTAAGTGGATATTACTTACCCAAACCGCACTAGTAACTCCTACTACAGAAACCCAACTATCTGCAATGCAGGTAACATAGGGGCCTTAATAATTAGAATAGGGTTTTGGTGCATGTTATATCATACTTGGAATAAGGAACCCCAGTAACCCTATGTATTCTAATTATAATTAGGCCCCTATATTACTTCTCTTTCGGGACATGTGCTTCGGCACGGGCTGACTACATCTGCAAAACATTGACTTTTTGTGCTCATCATGCATGCGTGGGGAGCGTCTGGGCACAATACCTGACAAAGAACTATAGCCAAAAGGAGCCTTGATAATTAACTAGAACAGGGTTTGAGGGTCTCAGATGGTACATGTATGCGGGTGGGTAATGACGCGTAGTTACTCATGCTTGTATATTATGGTGCAGGTGGGTTGCGGGGCTTCAGGTTCAAGGTGAAACATGCGTGCTCAACGCCTTCTGCTTTCACAGATGGCGGCGCACAGCCAGCTTCCAGATCTCACCATACAGACTTCATAGGAGCCGTCGGGAGGGGCCCACTGAACTGAAGAATCTCGTCGAGGCGCATGACACGGCGTGCTGTCTTTGTCCAGATCTCGTCGTGTCTCTGCAGCTGCAGGTCAACTCCCTCTCCCCAGCAGGTCGTTGTCTGATTGTTGTCCTAGGGTGGATGATTTAAATCCTGCATTACCCAAAATAAGGGATATACCATAATTCCCCTAGTTTAGGGTCCTTAAGGTAATGCAAGGTTTATATCATCAACAGTAGGTCAAGGTTTCCACTTATAAGTTCCACATTAAGCCAAACGCAAAAATCACAATCGTCAGAAATCGGTACCTAGTGTCTGGTCCATGTAGAGCACAGGCATGCTGGTAGCCGCATGCTACCTCCGTGGCATCCTCGAGCCCCTCTACCTCGGCATGTCTCAGATGATGCTCAAGGTTTAGGGTTTAGGGTGTCGGGGTTTAGGGATGCATCTTCTTGCAATACAAATAAGGGTGGACGGCCCTATCTACCACTTCAATAAGAAAGGCTGTTGACCTTGGTGAAGTCAACAATCCGGCTAAAAACAAACCGCAATTATCTTTTCGGCAGTTGAGCGCATCGCTCTCAAGATAAGGGATCTACATGTTCCAAACCTAGATCCTTAAACGTAGTAGTCCCGCTATCTACCCGCGATATTTTAGTCTTGTTGTAAGATTCTAACGACAAGCTGAATCCAAAGACAGGTGATGCAATCCAGGGTTTAGGTAACTGCCCAGCGCTGCAGACCCACGTAATCCCTCCAAGCGGCAGTCACGGGCACGGCGGAATTCTCCGAACGCCGGGTTCCGTTGAACATGCCGAGCTGCCCACGCTCACCCCAACCCCAACATTTCCTCACGACTCATTGTCATTGTTCAGGAAGGCTACCATAATAGATCTTCGTATGTGTGTATAGTGTATATATATATATAT